ATGTAATCACTTATGCTTCCGGAGCTAATATAAATTCAAAGTAGGAAGGAAGAGAGACACTTTTAGTCAGAACAGTAATAATTTTTGAAATATAATTCTGAAGTGCTTTCCTTAAGAATGTAGGTGGTGGAATTTATTTGGTGGGTGGTGGAATTTATTTGGGACCAATACAAGCAATATCTGTAGAGCTTGGAGTTTATTGAAGAGATTCAGATTTGAAGTCATGTGGTCACTGGACTCTCTCTGGCAGAGAGAGACTCTTAGGAGCCACAGAAAAGCTAACATCTATAAACTCCTGGTCACTATTGTCTTCAAATGATTTTCTTTACACTCTTCCAAATGCTATAATTTGTCTCAGAATGGATCATTACCCAATTTTATTTTCTGCCCCGAATTTTGGAGACCAGACAGCACTTCATCTAATCAAAACCACTCAGAAGTTTGACAAACCTTAGACAGTTGCAACTAGCAGCAATAAACCTTTTATGTACAATAATCAGAGCCATTCATGGGTGATTTCAAGGATAGGTGTTTCCCTAGGGAGAGAAACACTGCTGTAGAAACCAAGGGGAAATAAGAGGGTTTAATATTTTGATCAGAGTATTTTCAAAGTAGCAGAGAAAAAAAGTTGAGCTACTTTATAAAAGTGAATGCATTTTAGGTTAATTAAAGTGAAATCAAGTCCAGGATATTGTCTAAGGAAAATATCAAGTTATTGTAAAAGTAAAAATCCATCCAGAATATCTAAAATCCTGAAGAAAAAAGAACTTAGAATTTATCTATGTAAGAAGCTTGACACATTAATGATTAGTAGATCCAAGATAAGAATCAACTGTGATGCCCTAGCAATGAAATAAAATCTTTTGAATATATTTGGCAAATCGCTAGTGTTAGTCCAAGGTCACTCCCTTTTTGGCCTTATTCTCTCATTTGCCAAATGAGTTAGGGGTTGGGGACAGGTCGAATTGGGAAATCTGTAAGGTGCATGCCAGTTCTAAAATTGGTATTATTTAGATGTGAATTCCGTGGAATTATGACCATTTCTTACACTTGTTTTACTACAAGAGGTGCTGTGGCCTTTTACATGTAAGGCCAAAGAAAAGTGAGGTACATGGAGAGAGATGGTTTCTGCTTTGAAAATAGGCCCAAGATTTACCCAGAGAACATCCTGAGAATCTCGTACGATTTTCACATTGGTATTGTTTAACACTGCTTTTCTAATGTGTAGATGTCTGTAGGTTTCCCATGGTGGAAGGAGAAATAAAATACCTTTGGGGAGGTTAGAAGCAACTCACCACCTGCATAACTATGTTTTGATGTTGTGTTTTCAGATCTTTGATTGTGGAAAGCAACTTGGCCTTTCCTTCTGTTTCCCAATATGTTCCTTTCTCTTCCCTCTTGTGATTTTTTTCCTCTCTTCCCTGTTTACAAGATTATTCCTGACATCTGGCCCTTGTCCATCCTGTGGCTCCACTCACTTCTCTCTGGCCTGTCAAACTGCTTTTGATCCATTAAGCTTAAGTTACTCCTTCATAAGAACTATGGGTGGTATGATCTCTTTCTGTATTGCTCTTTCACATGATTTAGCACTGAATTTCATATTGCCTTATTGTTTATTTTTGCCGCTTCTCCCCACAACTGGTTATATGCTTCTAAAAGGGAGAGTCCTTTTTTAGTACACTGTATATCTATGTAGAGTATAGCAGAGAATGTGGCTTCTTTTTGGAGGGGAGCCTTGATGCTCTTTTGGAAGCCTGTTCTCAGAGTTCTGAAAGCCAAAATGACTTTCTGAAATCTCAGTTTTAACACCTGTCAGCCACTGGTATAAAACGTAATGATGATCGGTTCAAAATATAGCACAGTCCAACGCAGTTGTGTGTGTGAGTGCACATGTATCACTTTATAACAGAGAGAATGCCCGTTTTTGTCAGACATTCTTCTTAGGTCAATGGGCACTTGTCCTCTGCATTCCCTAGACGCAACAGAAGACCAGTTTACTGTATAGTTGACACCACTCTGGAGGTCCCTTGAAGAAGGAAGAAAGGGAAGCAGCAGCATGGGGAAAGGGTTGTAGAGGTCATGGCTGAATGTGTTCCAACACGCGAGGGGCTCCCATTCTTTCTTGCACACAAGATTTTATCAGTTTTTTCTTATGGTCACCAAGGACCGGGATATGGATTGTGATGTGAATATTTTAAAAGCATAGAGTTCCTTACACTTTATCCTATTATAGTTTACTTTAAAATATTTACATATTTTCTCTCCTGTTATTGGCTGTATACTCACAGTCAGACTTGGCTAGCCTATGGTGCAGTAACAAACATTGACATCCTAAGGAATCAATAACACAGATATTTGTTTTTCTCTCACATCATGGTTGAAGGATTAGTTGGTTTCTTCAGTGGCTCTTCATATAGGGACTTGGGGACCCAGTGATGATCTTGTAGTATATTCTAGGAAAATGTCTGCCTACTCCACTCTCATTAAAGGATTATGCGATCAGTTTCTTGGGGAATAAAATAACTAGCAGCCTGAGTTCTCTTACTTATGTATGCAGATCAGCTATTCTTCCTCTCTCCCCACCCCACCAGGAGTTTTTTTCTTTGTTCTATTCCTTCATTTGTAATAACTGCAACAGAGACTCAGGACTGAGCCTGGAACAGTAGGACGTTCTAAAACTGAGCACATGGGCATAGGAACAGAATTTGTACTCTGAGAAACCTAAGACTTGCAATAACTGGTCATCTTTTCATCTCAACCCTAGAGCAGTTCCTCACACAAATCAGTGACACAATATTTGTTGAATGAATGACCTCAAAACTCTTAGTTTTGCCTTCACTGTAAAGCTATTTTTTTTTCATTATTTTACCTGTCTAAAATATTCCTCAGCTTTTCCTGTCTCTGCCTGTATTTGCAATGAATGCTTTGAAATGAAGATTTGAACTTTATTTATTGTAATTTGACATTAAAAATTGGAGAAAGAAATGTTTTCTAAATTTAGGAATACTCCCTTTTTTTGGAACTGACATGGCATAACTTTTGAAATATAAGTAAAAACTTAGTGAAACCATCACATTAAATATACAAACTGCAAAGATTTTTAAAAAGAGAAATAGATTAAAGTGACTGAAGATAGTTACTGAATTAAAATTCATTCAGTGGCAGTTTTCAAAAGTTACTTGAATCACTCTGTATAGAGTCATTTCAACTACCTTAAATATTACAGCCTCAGGGAGAGTGCAGTATAGGGACAATCAAGATAAGATGCAAATTACGGACAAAGGAGAAAAGAATGTGTTTGTTCATGATTTAAATAGAGTATTTCTGAGCAACTTTTCACTTGGATAGCCCTTATCAAGTGGTTGTTTTTTTTAGAATAGAGAGAGTGGGGCTTTCAAAACGGTAAATCAGGCAATCTGCATTCACATTTTGATGATCTGCAAATCACTTATTCATTTGCTAGAGTAAAGCAGATTCATGAAATCAATAAATTTGTTATTCATTTATGCCTTATACTTTTTTCCCCCATTTGGAAGAGTCCATAAAACAAACTCTTAGCATTTCGTTGAACTAGGAAATGAGAACATATTTCTAGCAAATGTCTTCAGTTTCCTTTACCTTGTGTTTCTATCTTGTATAAGGAATGCTCGAAACTGTCTTCTCCACTGTTGTGAGATCAGTGGGTGGTTATATTAATGTCAGTGATGGGGACTCTGCAAACATTTGTGAAAACAGGTATGCTGTCAACTGGTCAGGGATGAGCTTAGTGGTTACATTTTTGAATTAGTGACTGAAGTCCCTTATGTATTTTACAAAAATGTTGCTTTGGAGGTCACAAAAATGGAATCGAGTGCATATGATCAATTAAAATATAAAATTATAGCGTTTCCGTGATAAATTTCAGATCAAGGTATGAATTTGCATCCATATTCATCCTAACTTCAGGTTGTCATGGGCTCCAAACACTTACTTCTTAAATGCACTGCCATCTTGTCTCTTGCTCTTTTGTGTTTCTGGAACTGAATGTGCATGGAGCAGGATCTGCTGCTTTAATATTAACTATGGAAATATACTGTGGATGCTATGGTCATATACATTCCTCTATGCCTGAAATATGTCTGTTCTTGGGTAATGAATGAATTGCAGCCACGTTGCTTATGATGTGCTTGAATATTTTTGCTTTAATGAAAAAGAATTACTGTCAGACTGTAAAATGAAACTCCACTTTGCTCCACGTGTGACCCTTTCCCGATGTAAAGATATAAACTTCAGTTTCACTGGGGAACAAAAACTAAGCATGATGCTGATTCTGAGTTTTCAGCACACACTTGAGCTTGTGAAGAAATCAAAATAACAATCAATTTCAAGTCTGCCCTAGTTTATATAGAGATTTTGGGAAAACTCGGGTCTCTGTCATGCACAGCCAAAATCGAAGTCAAAATTCAGCCCAACTCTAATTCTTTAGCCTGTCATAGTCATTCTCTGAATTATGTCTTAATATCTGTAGATTTGTGACAAGAACAAACATTGCTCTTCAGACCCGAAATATTTATTGGGTAAATGAAGGGAGCTGGATAATTGAAATATTTTTTTCTATTTTTAATATGATCTTGTAATTTATTTTGGTTATAATCAACATTATAAAAATGTCTTATGTGTGGGACACTTATTGAAAGCTCAAAATACACAAAATAAGTAGAAAAGAAATAACTGTCTTCAAGATGGCTAACATTCTGAGGGCTGCAGGGTGTGTAAGTCTGCAATGTCACCGCCTGTTGATTTCTCTAATTCTCGTTAACATTGTACAGTCGTTCAAACCATTTGTAGTTTCCATGGCTCCTGTTATTATTTTTCTAGGGAGAAAGGTTTTTTTTCTTCTTCTTTTAAATAACAGTATAAGTAGTCACTACATGATTTAAATAAATCAAGCCATAGATTTCCTGACAGTGCACCAAACAAGACCTGTGTGTATAATGTGAGTTCTTTCTTTTTAATTTTAGAATCAACCTTGTCCTATGTTAGGCAGCTGGAGGCAAGAGTAAGACAGCTGGAGGAAGAGAATCGCGTGCTGCCCCAGGTGGGTGACTTCCAGAAGCTCATAGCTAGTCAGTGTCGTTTAAGTTATAGCATTTTATTTGAAGTCTCAATTACATTTTCTCCTTTAAATGATAGAAATCATTTTGTAAATAGCCATTCATCAATGTGGACTGTGATTACTTTCCATAATGGCCATCATATTATCCAGATTCTTAAGTGTGATATGAAAGGATGCAGATGTCTGAAATAAGAATGTAAAATAACTTTGGAAGGAAGAAGGGAGAATCTGAGAAGTAGAAAGTACTTTGGTAGTACTACTTGTATATATCATGCATGTACTTGGTGAATATAGAGAAAGGTCTCATTTATGTATTTTATTTTTTATTTTTATTTTTAGGCGAGGCAACCCTTAGTTGACCTCACAGATTGCAAGGACCTTGTCAGCTTACAACCCCTTAATTTTTACGCCTATAGCACCTGGTCTTCCTAGGTGGTCTCCCATCCAAGTACTAACCAGGCCCAACCCTGCTTAGCTTCCGTGATCAGATGGGATCGGGCTTGGAAAGGTCTCATATTTAAATCGAGAAGTGGCTAATTTATGAGCTAGGGAAATCTGTAGGTAGTTTGAAGATTTCATATTTTAATTAAATTACTACTTTCTAAAATTCTTTGTGATATAATTGAACTCTTTCAGTGCAATGAAATGATGACAGAAATTGATAGCTCTTACTTTGGGACTTCATTTCTTTCCCCTGGTGAATGTAAAGTGATATTTTTTTCCCCTAGGATTTAATACCTTGCTATCTATTTTATTATAAAATTATTTTCGTGGGTTAATTTCTTGGTGAGATGATGTTGGTCTTTTGAGGTGATAGTTCTTGGGAAATGTTTTGTTGAGGAGTTGGACAAATCTGATTCTAGGTTGGTTTCCTTTAGAGGCAGATAAACAGTAATGTATTTTAATATTTTATACAAAGGAGCTTTCTAAGCATTTAGTCACTAATGTCCTATCCACATTTTGGTGATTATTTCTATTTCATAAGTGACTAAGGGAAAATTAGACCTCAAACAGCCAGTAAGCAGTAGTTTGAATGAAAACAGAAAGACTGGTTTTAGTGCAGGAGAAGATATATAAACTTGAGTGCAAATATGCTTTAGAAAGATATTTTAGGTCTTTTTAATCTTGTTTTGTTTTTAAACTACCTTTGCTTATTAGTGACGATTTGGGCTATTAGGTATTGTATGTGAGAATGCCTTTCTCTTTCTCCACTGGCCAGCCATCTGGCTAGAAATCACGAGATGGAATAAAATGAATCTACTTATTTTCCTTCTCAAACTATATATATAGTTTTATATATATATATGTTAAAACTCATGATGACTGAAGGGATTATTTGTACCATGAAATATACTACTCTGGTAGAGTTTTTGCTTTTCTCTACTTTTCATTTTAAAATTTTCTTCGCCAGTTTTCCTTTTATATTGGATTTACAGTATGACTGTGCTAGAACCCTTGACTGAAACCATCTAATTTCTTCTCTGTTCCAAAAATATAAAATATATTGTGAACATTATATATAGTTATACCATCTCTGAGGCAACTGTGAATATAAAAAAAAGCAAGAGAAAAAAAGCTGTTTCCTAGTTTTCCTCTGAGTGGGAATTTAGGCTCATATCAACACTGACATGCTAATGCTAGCATATATGCTATCTTATTGAAAAAGAGGCACAAATGTGAAAATGATTACTAGATTGATTTTTCAAAATCTGTGAGTGTCAGTTCTTGAAGGGAAATCAGAAGGGTCCTCAACTATACTTGATGTATGTGTATATTTAAATATAGTCCTTGCATAGTGGAGAGTAGAAGAGAATTAAAAACTTTTCAAGGTAAAGTGTTCAAACATATGTTTCTAAATGCATCGCTATTTTCTATCAAAGAAGATTGTTGTTGTTTTTTTTTTTTTCCATAAGAAATGGCTAGGAAAGATCAAGTTTTATTGAATCTAAGATGTTACTGATATGGGATGCGCAATGACCATATGTACCATTAAGAAAGAAAAAAGATGTCAGTTATTCTGTTTCATTCTTGCTGATTTCAGAGATGTTAAAATGAAAAACGTTTTAGAATTAAACAGTTATGTACGTGTCCAAATTACTCTAATGCAAAGAAAATTCATTGTTTGAATGAAATGTGCTATTGGGTATATTCAAAGAATACAATAGATCTATCTCAGTCCAAAAACAATATTTGTGTTTAATTTCTGTATCTGATAGTAATGCCTTCATTTACAGCTAAAATATGATAGAACCACCAATTACAATTACTTGTATAAGCACAACTGAAATGAACATAGTCAGAATCACGTGAAGGGACTCGTTGTGGAAGGCTGAGATGACACAAAGGATATGCAGCTACTTCTTAGCTGTTACTGGGACTATTACAAATAATTATGAGATTTCTCTGCAGAAATGACTTCTAACTATACAATATTAGCTGATTTGCAAGGTCAGTTCAATGACATAAGCTGACATCTCTGCATAAATTAGGCTTAATATCTGAACCCACAGTGTTCGATTGTAAGAGCTAGTTTGCTGGGCCTTGATTAGAAGGCATTCTTTTTTTACTCCCAAGTTTTTAAAAATATGTCCACTTATCTTTGGATAAACGGGAATAAGAATATACTTGGCAATTGGAATTCCAAGTATACAGATATCTTTTGTGGCTATGGTCAGGTTTTTTGTATAGTTTAGTGTTTAGATTAATTATGTAAAACATTTTCCTGGAGGACGAAATCTTTTTTAATGCTCATATTTATTCTTTATGTAAAATTGTACATAATGAACAGAAAGTCACACCTTTGCCATAGCAATACATATTTAAAGATAATGTGCTTCTGGATTTCTCTCTGGTTTGGTACAAAGGCTTCAGTTTCTTAATTTGTAAATGACAAGGTCTCCAACAACTTTTACATTTTGTAGGTCTAAGTGTAAATAAAGCTTGGGTCCAGTCTTATACTCATGCAAAGTTACCAAGTCCCAGTTTTTTATTTAAGAATTGATAGAAAAATGCAGTGAAGATTAGATTGGTTCTATCCAGTGGTAAAGAGGAGCCCACGGGAAGTGTGGATGGACCACCAGTATAGACCATGGTGGGTCATCATCACCCAGTGAACACAGAGCTCTTTGCTTTGCCATGGTCTCTCCAGTATCCCACGAGGATCACTGAGCTGTATTTTAAATCTAGTTTGTGAACACAGTAATCAAAGGTGCCCTAAAGTTAGAACAGTCTCATTATTTTCAGAAAATGTAGTATTATTGCAAGGTATTATTTGGAAAGAAAATGCCTTAAAATTTTTTTTTGATAGACAACAAGAGATCTATCCTCTTAACATATTTTTAAGTGTACAATACAGTATTGTTATTTATAGGTATGTTGTACATCAGATCTCTACAACTTATTCATCTTGCATAACTGAAATTTTATACATTGATTATCAACTCCCATCTCTCCCTTCCCCGCAGCCCCTCGCAGTCACTATACTATTCTTCTATGAGATTGACTATTTTAGATACCTCATATAAGTGGAATTGTGTGGTGGTCATCTTTTTGTTACTGGCTTATTTCACTTGGCATAATGTTACCCTGTGATACAGCGATCTTTTGGATATTTATACAAAAAGAATTAAAATCAGGCTCTCAAAGAGATAGCTGCACACTCATGTTCACTGTAGCAGTATTCACAATAGCCAAGGTGTGAAAGCAACCTAAATGTCTATCAACAGATGAATGGGTAAAGAAAATATGATATATACATACAATGGAATATTAGCCTTAAACAAGAAGGAAATCCCTCAATATGTGATGTGAGCGAATGTCGAAAATACTTTTTTGAAAGTTGGTACAAATGATCATTTAAGATCACCTGAACTTAGGGTATTCTTTCTTGAACACATAATGTGAACACTTTTTACAGGTTACGTGTAAAAATATTTCAAAGGATTGCATCTAACCTCTCATAACACATGCAATGCTAAAACTGCTCAGACTGGTCTGTCAGCTCCATTATGTACATATTTAATGTGGCATGAACCCTAATGAAGATCGTGTTACTTAAACGTAGCAGCTAGCTATTAAATTTATTAATTTTTAAATCCAATGATGATAGTCATTCACAATGACATAAGTAGGCATTTATGAAATAAGACCCAATATTGTGTGAAATTTTGTTGTAAGGAATTTTATATCAAATTGAAAAGAAACATACCTATTTCATGTATACATTTACATATAAACTTTATGTAGATAAAGAGTCTGATTTCCAAAGTTTACATGTCACATTGGACAACACCCTCATTTAGTAAAGGAATATAAGGGTCACAGAGGTTGGGAGTATAGTTCTGGCCATATAGCTAATGTAGGCATATTCAATGTTCTTTCTAGCATACATACAGTGCCTCCTTTAATCACTTCATACCATTCATGCAATTCAGTGTCATTAGGCTAATAAATCTATTTTTATCTTATTGTCAATTCTTTCATTCGCACATCTTAAAAATTAACATTGGATCTGCTTAGCCATCTAAGATTTCTTAGACATTTATTCTATTTCTACTTTAAGGGAAATAGTCTTTTTTTTTTTTTTTTTTAGAGCTGTGGTATCTATCACTAATGAAAAAATGCATTTTGTAGAGTCTTCTCTCTGACACATTTTAAAAATACTTCAGAATCAAAGTTTTATTGTACAAATGTATACCCACATCTGCATGAAAAATTCATACTTAACAGAATGTAATGAGAGAGAGCCTTTCCGTTCAGAGTGAGCTGGAGAGAATGAGTACGGGAAAGAATAGTTACAGTAGTAGTTTTCAAGCTATATGCCTATGAAATTTGGTATCAAAAACCTTGCTTAGATCTCATTCCATTGTCCTTTTCTTGATGGTTATCTTACCTTTGGAGTGATTGGAGTTCTGATAACACACACAGCTCTAGGTCCTTATCACTGATGAGGAAATGAATTACAACTCAGTGACTATAAGAGA